CATGTCACTAGTTTTAGGTTAAAAAGATTCTTGTCTTAACTTAACATTCATCACTTACACAAACTAGAAATGTGTCCAAAGGACACGGGTGCCCCCGCAATTCACTGTTTTGTCAATCTTATGACTCTATGTCAACTATTTTTGGGCATGTGCCACAAATTGTAAACAAAAAATCAGTTACTAAGTAAAGGGCAAGAATTTTACAATCACTGAATAAATCCACAAGCAAACTCCAAGGTGCATACGAATACATGCTGACCAACATTTTTGTAAATTTTTCAGGCCTACAGGTCAAATACGTTTAGAGCTATGCACGAAAATTGCAGCAATTGAGTTTTTTAGCAATCAAGTAACAGTTAAAAGGACAGAAGTTTGTATCATTACAGGACGTCTTTATTACCATCCAGGCTTTTACAAGACAGTATGAAACTGAAATATATATAGCCAGCAGATCCGCCGGCTTCATCGATCTTTGGTGCATGCATGGCATACTTTGAGAATGAGAAAAAAGCTCCGTAAAAGACAATACGCTTGTTACGTTATACCGTGCGCAGGATCGTTCTACATGTACATGCAATTAACAGCATAACATTCTAATTTGTTTATGCTTTAAAAAATTATGGATTTTGTTTTGTTTCGTGTCGGGGATATATTCCAATTTATGTTCTGTGTATTTTTGTGTAAATGCAGTAAACTGGTAATGAATCATCTATCGGTTAATTTTTTATCATCCCTCGTAAAAACAAAAGGATATTTCAGATATTTCTTTTCGGTAAGTTTGTTACGTTTAAGGCATGTACAACCTTCATTCTTTGTAACAGATAGCTTGGCTGTCATTCCACCACGTTTACAGATGTTTTAATTATTATTATTAACAATTTTTTACTTCGAGTAATTGAAACTTCAATTTGTTTAGCCTACTTGCATTAATAGAAGACAAAAGTCTAATATATCTGAATAGCTTTAGATTTAGTTGTAGAGGTAATCAATTTACAGATGTTGCCTTACATTTTCTGCCATGTTTCTCTTGATCTGTACCTCAGGCTTCCTGCAAATATATATGTTAACAATTTATTGCATACAATAAACTCTCGAATGCAAATTTGTTAAACATAATCAACATTTAAAGTTATCAAAAACAATTTTCTATTTCTCTCTTTTTTACATTTCTGCCAAGTAGTTTCAATTTCCAACGATTTAAAAGATATAGACCGAAAACGAACACTGGTAATAGATAGACGTACGGACGACCATATGCTAACTTTATACGACGAAATTTTTTGGGCGTATTTAAAGCACACTTTGAATGATTAAGATTTTAATGTATTTTACGCGTCGTAGTTAATTATATTAAATAAGTACAGTAAAATACCACACGCCACAAATAGGACCACGCCGCTATTAAGGGATTTTTTAAAAGTACAAAATATTTGCCTTCTTTATTCATCGAGAAAAAAGATCAGTATATCAACCACCTCCCTAATTCGGCATTGCGACCACTTCTGACAGACATAGTGTGAATCATTAACCTGTATTACGACAAGCAATATAATGACCACCCAACACCATGTGTTATCGCCCCATAAAGATAAAACATTGAAATGTTTACATTCTATATGGTTGCATTACTAGCGAAAATGTAATTATGTTTAAGAGATATTTTAAAATTATAAGATGTTTGAATATATATAAAGCACAAGGTACACCATTTGAATATTTTGGAAATACTTTTTAAAAAGCCATGATTTATACGTTTATACAGTTATAGATTAACTTTGTTTAAAGACCAGTATATAGCATTTTATCTATATGCAAGAAAGTGAATAATGTGATACAAAACAATACCTGAACATTCTTGACATCTCATTATCTACGTGTGCAGGGTGAAATTAATTTTTACCTATACATGATATTAGTATTACCTCTATGTTTGAAGGATTCTGTCCGGAGAATGACTGGTTCTGACCTTACTTAATGTGATGAAGGGCCTACATCAAATTTCCAAGATATGAAGGCAGAGCAACACTGTCTGGCTTTTATAATTGACATATTCTCAGTTGGGTAACTACAAAGTGACTTTGTAGGTATTGTTATCTTTTTTATCTAGATTCCTTTTATATCTCAATCTATACATCATAATTTAACAACAAAAGTCTACGATCATTATTAACATCCAAAACAAACAAGCTATTCATAAACCATTTATACAAAATATCTTTTCACGTGTACGCCTTTTATACAAAACAATAGTAAACACTTGGCGAGCCTAAGCTCTACACAATATATAATCCAAAAAGACAATAAACATTGCCCGAAAATGTAAAACACAAATTGAATTATTTTACAGCTTTACACAATAAAGTGATAAATGTTAACAATATCAAACATTCAATCTAAAATATTAATATCATAGCATCAAATAAAAAACAACTTAAACCTAAACAACTTATGTTTACAAAATATCTTTAAAAAACAACCACTGAAAACCTCAAAATTAAATCATATCACTGACTCTTTAAGCTTCACAAAACTAACAAAATATTAACAAAAATTACTTACGTTATTCAAAAAATAAAAATTTATCCTAGTTTTCCTACAACCCCAACCCCATAGTCACACTTTTCCAGATCTTTTACAAACAAAATAATGTCTGTTTTATAAAATATATAATAAATCCCTCTACAAAATTGAATCATAAATTATAATTAATGTTTCACATTCCAATAACATTGCGCATGTTTGCCAAAGTATCGTATCCGTTCTAAAGGCTGTAAGAAATAATATATTGTTTCAATGACAAATACATGATAAAAAATCCTTTTCATAGAAACAAGTGGCCTTAATTCATTCAATAAAAGCATTGTTTTTCAACGGTGTAGAGTAGAAATAAATTCTTCCATTTCACGCATGTTAACTAGGCGATAGATGAAAGTTTGCATTTCATGCACGCATTTTACAGTGATTCGCGCGATGCACGATCTTTCTTACCTCCGAAAAACTCTCTCTCTCTCTCTCCCTCTCTCTCTCTCTCTCTCATTATTGTTTACAAATTAACATATATACTTAAATATTGGCAGACAATCATCATAAGCTGCAAATAAATCTAGAACTATGACAAAGAATTCAGCAATAAAACTTTCGAAACTGGAGGATGAATATTGCAGCCACAAAAAGGCCGTCTAAATATCTGTTTGACTTCAGGGAAGAGCTGAATATGAGAATTTTAATTGGTCATTTTGAAATAAGTAACTAAAGTCTGGCAATATAATTGACCATTTTAAATAAAACGTAAAGGATAGTTCTTGTCATTCTAAAATAAAATTAAAATTAAAATTCTAAAATGAAAAGTACTGGCTAGTTCTTTATCTTTCTAGTTCAATTGCTCAGATATTTAAGTTCTGTTTAAGTAATAACCATACTTCTTCCAACAAGACATTTTACATTGTGTTTAGATATATATAAGTTTAAGTGAGCAGTTCATTTTACATATACAAAAAACTAACTGAATTTATTTTACTTGAAAACTTACCGAGTTATAATTTTGTTCAAAATCACAAAGCAACCAATAACGTTCACGATATGCCCATGAAAATATCAAAAATACACCAAAGAATCTGTCCTTAGTTATGATGTTCAATAAGTGTCTTATATATTATATGAACATTGATATAATTTTTAAAGTTTTCGTATAGTTTTGTATAATTATCAAGTATTTAGTTTAAACAATATTTTATTTATAAACATTACATTTACATGATACTTGACAAATGATAAATTGTACGGATTGAGTAAATCGGAAATATATTTTAATGAAAAGCATGTAAAGACAGTAAACAAATCAAAAGTTATATGTAGCCTTGAGCTATTGAGTACCCTAACAACTGTGTAAACTTTATTTTGTTGTCTGTTTGTGTTCCTTTGAATTGTCAAGTGTTTTTTAACATTTCAAATAGGGGCTTTTGCAAACATCTACGTGATAATTGCAGTATAAGATAGCAAAAACACGGCATAATGCGTAGAATACTATTTTAATACACATACAACTGCATGAGACTGGATTTTTAAAGTGTCCGTGTACAGCGAGGTACCTTTGAAAGAGGAAAATTGTGTATATTAGTTCGTAACATGGGAAATTCATCTTCGAGTGACAGTGACAGTGACTGTAAGTTTCCAATGTCATAGTAAATTTTAATTAAAATTGATATGATAATGTTCACTCCGTTTATAATTCTGCGAAATAAAATCTCTTGTCAATCTCGATATACAATCATAATAATAATAATAATAAATACATTTATAAATAAATGAAATGCTGACTACAATGTTATTTTAAAATAAGATTTGAAAATCACTGTATTCAGGAATACTTATTACATTTTAATCTTCAATTTAAATTCTTTCAATTAAAGAAAAAAATAATATACATTTTCTGATTTCTTAAATTTAGAAAACCACGATTCCTACTCTGCCACAACATTTATATTATGTATAAGTGTTACTTTCTTTATTGCTTTGTTTCTGTTATGATTTTATACATACTGATTAGCCAATTTTATATAATCAAAGAACCGCAATCACAAACCGAGTCTTCAAATATATAATTATTTTTATAATTTGAATTCAGATTACTGCAATTTTTCCTTACGTGTATGGTGTACTGTTCGCGAAGCTCAGTGTTTACATAAAATAGCAAAGTAATCTGGTCTGTAAACAATTGTTTAAAGTTTGCTCAATTGTCACATTCTCTAAATTCTATTTGTAATTCATTCTAAAGCTGTATTTAAGGCGACGGGATAATTGAGGTTTCAATAAACTTCAGTTATCCTTGCCATAATAAAATTGTGGCTTTATTTTTATAAAGTTGTAATAATTTTTAAGAGCATTTTCGACTAAATAGAAATAATAATCATAAATATAATTGAATTTTCCCTGTGTCTGTCAAAGATAACAACTCAATTTCTGATAGTAAGTTTTGTATGGAGACTGATTTTGTGAACCAGTGCCCATTTTAGCTGCATCAGATAGTACATTTCATTGAATATCTTCCTCATAGTTGGCACAGTTATCACATTAAGGCATAACGAATCTTACATTATAAACGAAATTAGATATTAAATCTAAATCTTAAACTGATATCACAAAGTTCATATTTATATCTGTAATAGTGCACGTATAAAAACATTTCTGGTTGCTATAGCTAAGGGAAAACAACATACGAAATCACTGGTTGCTATACAAAATATATGGTTTCTTTGGAAGTCAGAGCCTGCTATGAAATTCAATGGTAGATTTACTCGTTACTTTGGAAAGTCAATATTTACTATGGAAGTCATTGGTTGCTATAAAAGTTTACAGGTTGCTATAAAGTCACCTGCGGTTATGACGATAACTTCAATGTCACACGAATTTAGGTAACAGGCAACATATCCCTAGGGTGCCTCAACAATGTTGTCCGTAAGATAGTTACATATACAACGTGTATTCATGCCATAATCTTTGTAACGTCTTTCTGCTCTATTTGACGTCTGCGTTACTTCCGACGTATGTTGTTTGTTTTGTTCATGGTTTATTTTATTTTATTTAGAGAGTCAATACAGATCGTAACTATACAACGCCTTCATATTTTAACTCCCACTTCATGAAACCACTTTTACATTGGTGCACTTTGTAAAGCTAATTTCAACACTAGAAGATCATCGCAGGATTGATGAAATGTCGTCCCTAGGATTGTCGTTGCTGATAGATTATCTATTTGCTTAAATGAATTAATGGATTAAACGAAACATAAGAACAAAGACCAAGAAGACAAGGCGATCTTCAAAGAACGCAGCCCCGACACAATCCAGCCATACTAAAAGGGCACAGATAAAAAACCGAAATAAACTAAATGCAACGTAAAACCAAAATAAAAACAAATAAGACGATAAACCCTTGGTAACGCAACATACCAATAAGATTACGATTGTTCAGCAGAAGCTTCCGAAACTTATCATACCGCGGTGCTAATCGATGATTTTAAGGATAAAAGGAATGTGATTTGAGATGATAATAATGGTTATGAAAATCATGTAAATTGGGATAATGATGTTAAAAGTGATGTTGTTTATGACGGTTGGCATACACATTGGAATAGTGATGACAATTGTGTGATGATTATCAATATGAGTAAAATGATGATGGTACATTGTTTCTTTGTTTTTGTTTTTTATTCTTTTTTAAATTCGGTTTAAACAAGTTTCGTCAAAAACCGATTAACCAGTATTATAACACAATTCTGCACAAGTTAGTGACTATCACTCCAACATGATTTCTGAATGAGCAGTTGGGTATAAGTGATGATGAGTATGATGATGTCAGCGACAATGATGATCCTTATAATAGTGATGATTATGTTCATAATAATGATGATGGTTTGGGTGATGATTGGTTTTAGTTCAGTATATAGTTAAAATATGTGTGATTTTTAATTCTCTCATATTGTCACGTCAAATATTTGCTGCTTACTTGCCATTGAATTTTGCCATGGCAAACTAACAAAATTTAGAGATTTCAATTTAAAATGTAACAATGACTCTTAATAAATGTGATAAAATAAAAGATAATACGTTATATGCATTCTTTTAAAAAAAATTGCAATAGCAAAATTGTTATGACAGATGCAAGCTTTGCATGCAATTTTACAAAACAAAATAGGAAAGATAGAAAACAAAACATATTAACTTTTAAACCTATTAAATAAAAAAAAATTACATTTTTAAAGCGCATAAAAATATGGGTTGAATTTCCCCAAAACTAGTATGGCAAAATGAAATCGGCAACTTATATTAGTTTTTCAATTTTAAAATTTCAGCCAGTTTTTCTGAAATTATCAAGGAACATTTTCTGAAATTCAAGATGAACATTGAGATTCATATTAAATTTACACCCCAAAGTATGTTTGCAATTTAAGAGCTTTGTAATCATTTTAAACTCCCTGATAATAAATCTATATTTCTCTATAGTCAAACATGTCACAGAATAATGTATATCAACTATCCGTGATATCATTGAATAAAATCAAACGTCCAAAAATATCATACTTAAGAGGAAATAAAGAAGTAGATGCTTTGGCTGAAGAATCAACAGATTCGTCGTTACCAAACAGTTACTTTAGGCCATATATAAGTAAACTTATTTCATCTGAATGGAAATCAAATTAGGTCAAAGCTGTATTTTACAAACATCATAATATTAACCCTTGTCTTATTCAATATATCGCCATCTATATATGTCCTTCATCGTCATGATCAAATTATTCTTCTAAGATGTAGAATTAGACAAACTAGTGTTACACATTCCTACCTTTGACAGGAGACGAAGATCCATTTTCTATAGCTTTTGATTGATATTTTACTGTCAAACATTTCCTTTTTGAATGCCATGATATGTTCGTGATAGAATTCATATAAGATACGTCCACAAATTTATTGCACATTCTAACGTCATGCAAAGATTCATTTGAATTTGAAAGATTTTGAAGGATCGAATATATCTCAAGAGGAAAAGAGGACTACCAGCGTGAATCAAGCGTCTACAACAACCGATGTTATACAGTCAAACTACCTTGAAAAGAATATCACTCTCACGAGTGATGTCATCACTACCAAATGCACTGGAAAACGTAATCAGTAATTTATGTCAAGACACTAAAATCAATCGGACGTAAATACGGGTTGCAGAACCAGTCAGAGATGTTACAATTTATCTTTTATATTTATTCTTTTTATTCTTTGGTAAAAAGACCCTAAATACTCAACAGTGCTTAAAAGTTTAAAGCAGTTATGTTCGGTGTAACATGTTAGCCATTCATCCTTACTCAACAATTTTGAAGCATTTAGCATGTAACAAAGAAATATGGGTCAGCAAATTTTAAGAAGAAATTGTACCTGGACAATGTTTTGTGAAGCTTTGAAGATGAAAACGAGGCACTCTCTTATTTTGATGATTCAAGAAAGCATGTGTCGTCTACAATCTTTTCTGTACGCTAATGGAATTCAAATAGAAGCTTGAAAATAATTAAGCCTTAAACTACGAAATCAAAGAGATACTTGAAATGCGTTGAAATAAAGAAACAGACATGTCACACAAACTCATACACCTGTTACCAATATCAAAACAAAACGAGACATCTTGCGGCATAAATAAAGAATGTTCGTAAAGTTAATGATATTGTCAGAATCGGTTCATACCAGAAAGTACTGCGTGTAAATGCATATACGATAAGAATCAGACGGGGAAAAAAGAAATCCTAGCAAGAAACTGGAGTCCCTAATGAATTACTTCGTGCTGCGAAAATATAACTATTAGACTGTGAGTCCAGAATATCGTTTAGTTATAGATAACGATAACGAAGTCGAATCACGATGCCCAACTGATCGAGTGTTGGAGATTACCTTACCTGTTGCCATAAAACTAGAAATGGACCCGTTTGTTGGTACTTGATTGCCATCAAAAATTGCCACATGCTGCAGTAACTCTTACAAGTTCCTATATACGATAGAAGTAAATTGAGGTTATATCCCTGCGTTTCTCAAAAGCACCCTAAGAATCATAATGTGACGTCAAGTCATATCCCCGCGCATTTTGCTAATTTCCAGAGGATACATTATTAGCAAATGGAATCAATGATATTTATTAATTATTACATACAATACGCCTAAACCAATGGGATAAAAGCATTTCTACGTTTTAATAGATTATATAACAAACATGTATAATTTGAGAAATGACATTGTGTACCTATATTACCTTATACCCGTGCTGGCTAGGGCAATTTTGAAGGTACAGTTATATAACATTTTATGTTTCTAGATTCACCTGCGTATGTACCGCCTCCTAGTCCTTTAACAAGTAACCCATGGAGAACAACACCGGAATGGAATAAAGAAGTAAGATTCTTGTTTTTTTTTCCGAAATTTCTTAATTAAAATAAAAAATTGGGAATACACTTTTATCGCTTTTTATCGTTTTTGTTATTAAACATATGTTGTAATTCATTGCTTTAGTTCTTGTTATATCAAATGAGAACGAGGGATAGTCAAAAACAATTTGAGATTTTTCGATTGTCTTGAGAACAAATAAATTAACTTACATGTCGATTTTTTTTAATGCGTTTATTTAAGGTCGCCGCCGGAAAGCCATATGGGCGACCGTACACTCAAGTCGGGCTATCTTAGAGCGTCCCGCCGAGATTTTTCGTCGATTTTTTTCCAGCTTTATTGGTGGAAGAAGACCCCAGGGGCCCCTCTGGGCATTAATTCAGGCACGAGCGGGCACATGGGTAGAACCACCGACTTTCCGTAACCAGCTGGATGGCTTCCTCACATGAAAGATTTCGACCCGAGTGAGGATCGAACCTACAGCGGTGAGGGGCCTGTGATCTCAAGTCAGCGACCTTAACCACTCGGCCATGGAGGACCCCCTCCTTACACGGCGTAATACAAGATAAAGAATAGTCCTAAAAAGTATTTCGTAATAACCTTTATTAACAGAAACTTCAGAAACTTCTTGGTAGCTATTACGCTGCTGGAATCATACACATAAACAAACACTTAAACAACATTTTTAGATTTTTTATTGTGCGACGAAATATTAAATTTAAAGTTTCGGTGACTTTTAAGTGTTCCATTCACTTCTTTCCTGCTTATATCAAATAAACTCATCCGTGTTAAGTCAATTTCTACAATGCGTTTCAGAAAATTTTCACCGAGGAGAGTATATCGGCGGAGTAATTCTTGACTGATCTCTACTTTCTACCTTTCTTAGTTTTTCAGAGAAAATGCGGCAGCCGCCGAGCAGCTAGCTTTAGAATATTCAATCGCTTAGTAAAAAAAATGTGTAACTAGATTTCTCATTGATTGCATTATTACAAGCAATCTCATTGCAAATTCCAGAATGATGCTTTAGCAAAAGGTCGCTCCGGACATTCTTGAATTCCTTCAGCCATTGCAATTTCGTACAGCACACTGCAGGCCAATTTTATTTGGTATCATCTAAATTCTCTAACGCCATTTTCCCGAAAACATTCTTACTCCCGCGTCAACCCGAACGCACCGTCAGCTTTAATTGTTCCAAAACGACGTCATCATTACCTACTATGTAATTACATTAGTTTATACATGAAGCAACATTGGAATAGCTTATGTATGTGTATCAAATTTCATTTAGATATGTCTATCCGTTTAACATCCGGGTACATACTCAGATACTTTGACTGACCCGCAGTGTCTACATGAGATCCACTTCATAAAATTCTAAACGTATTGCATATTATAAACGCTAGATACTTCAATTATCTAACAGAGCCGACATTCATACTGTAATTATTAGCGTTTTCATCCAACGGAAATGTTAGAAGCTACATGTTTCTTAATAACAGGCCTTTTAACTTCCTTTATCTGTTACTTTATTGTTTTAATGAATGATACATATTTCATAGCAATACAATATAAATATATTTACAGTTATAATTTTATAATATAAAATGTTTCAATTTATTGTATTTTCTTATCAGTTTGAATCGTCACTACGTAAAGACATAAAAGCAATAGAACCGCCATTTAAACCTAACATCGTTCTAGTGGGGCCTGTTGGAGCAGGAAAGTCTTCATATATTAATGCAACTCTGTCTGTTGCTAAAGGACATAAGGTTGATATGGCTTACACTGAAAGTGGGAGCAAAAGTTGTACAACTAGTGTAAGTTAGCTTTTTTTATAAAATCAAAATAATTAAACGAGCTTCACAATACCGCCTACCCTTGAATTTGAAATTTTATAAAACTTTTAAAACATCCCCAGATGTGTACATACGGCGGTTATCATGGGGCCTTAAATGGGACATGTTAGTGTCATTCCATGTCCTCAAGTAAATTAATAATTTAGAAAGGGTATCAGAGGTTATGGTGCTTACATATCACAACATTTGCGGATAATCATATCAAGTCGATATTATTTGGCCAGACACTCGGTTCTTATTATCGATACCTTTGTAAACGGGATAAGCCCACAAAGCTTATTTCACGACGAACCAACTTCATATGTTTCACCGAAATGTGTCTCGCACAAAAAGATATGCTGGTTCCCAGTAAAACATATAATGGTTAAACGCCCATATCAGGACGACATTGTTAGTTTTTAAAATTGGAGTGTTTTTGTTTTAATATGATCCATTATTAAAAGTATTTGAAATAGTATTCGACCCTTCTTTTAGTTCCTTATCGTTACCGACTCATGTATTGTCATTTCATACATTCTTATAGAGAAATTCTGTTGTTGTGGCTTGTATGTTAATTATTATATGTCCTATTACTTGCTGATTTTGAATTTATTCACCGGAAAAGGGTAGGTTTGTGTGTTTTACAACATTATGGGTCAACATTGTGTATGCTAGATAGGTTAAAAACTAAACGTGGGAATAAAGAAAATAACTGAAAATAAGCTCAAAACAGTCCACAATCTAATAATGTTTACCTTAAATTATTATTATTAAGATAATTACACACAAAACCCCCTTGATCGATTACTAATTAATACAAAAATAATGGTAAAATGCTAATTGTGTCCTATTTGTGGCCGAATCCTGCCCCTTGAATTGAAAACTGTTTGTATGAATGGTTGTTTTTGTTGTTCTCTGATACTCAAATATTTTTCACGATAACCTGCAATTATCTGCTATAAAACGAGAGAATACTATTCTGAGACAGGGTTATCCCTACAATCCAAATTTGTACATTTCATCAGTAATAAATGATCCTTCTGATTCAAAAAGTACATGTAAAGAACGGAATGAAAAGAAAATACGTCACTGTTTTCAAAATTCGTTTATGGTAAACGCGAGTATCTTTCTATGGAAGTCTGAGCTAATAAAATGATCAATTCATTTTTGCAAGCGAATTGTAAAGAAATAAAAACTATTTACAATTAGTGCTCGCCAATTTTTTTAAGCCAATCACCGACGAGGATTTTTCAAATTTTCAGGTTTCAAATCTTAATAGAACAGATTTTATATAAACTGGACGTTTTATATTATAAAACGCAAGTGGGCGGAGCTAAGTTCCGAAGAGCGCTAAAGTGAAATATACGCATGTGCAGAGATCTTGAAGTTTACTCCTACTAATCAATATTTATGCATCTTTTATTTTCCGTACACGCACATGTATATTGTCACTACGGCATACAATTTAAAAAAGAGGTTCATTGAAATAAAAACAGGCAAAATAACAGTAAAAATGTTTTATTACTTACGGAACCAGTATCATTTTATAATTTCCAAATAAAAAGGTCACTTATTCCAAGTATGTATGTAATATTTCTTACTTTTTATGTAAATATTACAGCCCGTGCCGCTGCAAAACCGAAAGTAGGGTGTTTTTATTAATTTTACATTTATTTTTGACAATAATACTGCCATTTGTCCGAAGATGATATGTATATGAACATAATAAATATATATGATGCATATATATAATCAAGCTACAGGTTCATTTCAGCCCGAAAAATATGTCGAGGTGACGGGCGAGGCAAGACATGTCGACTTTTTGTAGCTTATTGTGAAGTTGCAGGCACATGACAAATCAGCACATAAATGAAACATTCTAGTGTTCCGTGGTATACATTTTTTCTACGTGTCATACCTCCTTTCCTTATTACAATGAATTTTTACTGCATTGTTATCCATCGCTGGTTTGTTTTTAGCAGAGAATGACCTGTGTATGTTCAAAGAGGGTACCGTTTGAGAATATTTTGCAAAGAGGGTACCGATATGGATATGCACCGTGATATTGTCTGATTTACCTAGACAGAATGCGGGAATAAGCTATGCAAAACACGTGACCCGAAAATGTGTACCGCTACCTCTTCCAAATATGGTTATACACATTTAGGCTATCGTGTGACGTCACGCAGTATGTTGGGCGGAAAAAAATGGGCGGAGCACTAAGCCGGTTAGAGTGCATATTGGATGTTCTTCGTAAATAAGAAAGCTAGAGTCGCTTCGCAAGCTCCGCTCCTTTTTAGCTTTCTTATTTACGAAGAACACCCAATATGCACTCTAACCTATACTTGTTCTGTTTTGATTTACTTCTATCGAAACCTTAAATGGCGACCGAGAACTACAACACATTTTTAACTGAGGGTATGGCTTACCATAATGAACTAGGATAATAATTATGGTTGCTAGTCATATTACTAATATTTGTTACACAATGTATGTATGTATGTATGTATGTATGTATGTATGTATGTATGTATGTATGTATGTATGTATGTATGTATGTGCATGCATGCATGCATGCATGCATACATGTATGAATGTATGTTCGTAATGAGAGTAGAGGGGCAATGATAATAATGCAATGATAATAAATAAATTTGCTGGTCATACTAGAATATTTTAAATGCACTATTCCTGAACACATGATTTCATATCAGATACTTCATTCTTTTGCGTACATCGTTCATGTATATCAAACTAAAACTTACTTTTGACCATTATGACGTTGATCTTGAAGGTTACATTATTGAATTTTCACTGATGTTGCTGTTATAATTGACTGTAACTTTGTAAGTAAAGAATGGATAATCTTAATACGAAAACAAAACAACTTTTCTAGATAAGACCATCTAAACGGTTAAAGTGACTTTGACATTGAACATTATATGACTTTTACAGTCAAAGTCAAATTATGTAATTTTGCTTTAATTGTCAGTATTTTGTTGTATTTCTTTGAATTTGATTTACACTTTGATAAAACTAGATTTGCGACCAAAATATATGAAATTATTTAGATGTGACCTTGACCTTTAATATATCTTGACCGTGAATTAATGAAATTTATTTTGTCCAATAGCGGTGACATTTGGACTATGTGCACTGTTTTAGATGTAAATTTGAATTTTTATATCAGCTGACAGAGATTTTGGCGAAGTTAACTACTTCCTTGACCTTTGATGTACAGCTTTGAAATTTGTACCATGCAAACAATTTTTGATGTACAATTAAACTTTGATTTCCGCGAACCTACATTTTGACAAGTGACCTATAGCTACTCTCTTGTTCTTCGATGTACAACTATGACATTTGGACCATGTGCCAATTTAAGAGTTAAAATTGAACTTTGCTATAAGCTAGCCTGTATTTTTAGTAAGTGATCGATGTTTTTGTCCTTTAATGTACAGCTTTGAAATTTGGACCAAGTGCATAGTTTTAGATGTAAAATTGAACTGTGGTGTCAGTTGACCTAGATTTTAAGGATGTGACCTACTTTCTTGTCATTTGGTGTAAAGCTATGCAATTTGGACGTATGCAATGTTTTTATGTAAAATCAAATTTGATATCAGTTGACCCAAATTTGAGGATGTGACCTACTTTCTTGTCATTTTATGGAAAGCCAAGAAATTTGGACCATGTGCACTGTTTTAGATGTAAAATTAAATTTCATATAAGCTGACCAAGGTTTTGACGAAGTGACCAACTTTCTTGTCTTCTGATGTACAACTATGAAATAAAGACCATATGCACTGTTTTAAAGCAGCACGCCTCCAGATTCATGCTTATTTTCATGAAAAAATTGTAAAATGTATTTGAATGTATAATATTGTGAAATAACCAAAAGGAAGCAATTTACACATTATCAATGGTACTTAAAACCCACGTAAATTACCAAAGAGTGGTCAATATATGCATAAATAGCCCTTACTGCGTTAGTAACGCAGTAGAAATATACTTGTAAATACCGAAAAATCAGCCATTAACCGCACATAACATGTAAAATATTACTTGAATCTTGAATCAATTACATTTCCTAAAATCTTAGTACATATTTCTCAAGTTTAATTTTATTGAAATATGTTGACTCATCTGGAGGCATGCAGCTTTAAATGTAAACTTGAACATTTAACATTATGAAAATGATTCATACAAACAACATGTGTGACTAGACCTTTTAATAAGGTAACATTAAATCGATTACATATGAATCTTTTCATTTTATCTGTACAAAATTGTATTAATGAAAATCATGTTAAGCTTTCTGTTCTTTCATTTTTGTTCTTTTTATAATGCTTTACTGTCAATTGATTTTGTATTTAGCGGAGAAGAGATTATTATAGGGTATATTTATGTTTGGATATTGAACACTTACCCACACATGCATCACAATTTGAATCTGGCCTTAATTACCTTTATTATTTGCTGATTTTGAAATCATTCACCGGGAAAGGGTAGGTTTGTGTGTTTTACAACATTACGGGTCAACATTGTGTAATTGTATAGTTTCTGGAGTTTATTTTCAGTAATTTCTTTACCCTCACGTTTCATTTATGACACAGCAAACCCAACAAACACTTTTTAAAAATGGTTTGCATTAAATGACAATACATGAATTGGTTACTTTATAAAAACTATATAAGTGTCGAATACATGTCTTTTTTACAATTATAGTTTATATTTTTTTCAAAAATAACTACAGATTGTAAAACCATATGTAGCCGGTACCCTTGTAAATGTCCCTTTTTTAATGAACAAGTAAAGCAATCCTCGAACACCAAAATTGGATCTTATTTCCTTGTAAAATTTTATCAAACTAATTATAATTCACTTAATATGAATCCAAATTGATTTAAAATCACAAATTTAAACAGTGTGAGATTCTTAATATTTATATTTTGTGATGCTACAACAAAGTAGTTCATAGTTTAATGAGCAATATAGAAAAGAACTATTTGAGTTATTTCTTGATGAATACGATCAATAGTGACAATGGTTAACAAAATCCTTGCATAAAAGTTCTAATTAAACATCTTTGTTTTAAATAAAATGTAACACAAAGAGCAAATTGATGCAACTTGCACTAGTGACATATATAAGTCTGTGTAAAAGACATACGTTTGTTAATTGTTTTGCTCATTTCAGTATGACCGATATACAGATAAAACCTTACTCCAAAACTTTCGTCTAATAGACTGCATGGGGTTAGAACAAAGTACTGAAGAAGGATTTAATGTTGCTGACATGGTTTCTCTTCTTAAAGGGCATATTAAGAATGGTTATCAGGTAATTTATAAATAAAAGTATGATATTAAGTTCCCTTTATATAGATGTGCTTTGTTTTATTCTGTCAAAAGTTATAAAACAACTAATGAAGTTCATAATTTTGGAAAAAGAAAAACAACAATTTTGTATGGATGAGTACAATAATCCAATAATCATAAACGGCATAAACCGTCAACCTTTTCTTCTTATTATTCTTATCATATCTTTATTATTTATTGTGATTTGCAATTTCCTTTATTATTTCAAAATTTCAGTTCAACCCAAGGAGTCCAATTTCATCGGAAAACAAGGACCACTGGCATGTTAATCCAACGTTCGAGGACCATATCCATTGTGTAGTTTTTGTAGTTGATGCAAATGTCATGCACATTGGCATTCCCCCAGCCTATGTCGGGAAAATAAGACAAATACAAGATGCAGTGAAGCGATTACGTAAGTAAAGAGGGCATTTATCTTCCGAAAAGACGCATTATTCATCGTTGTACGACGGTTATTTCTGATAATATCTTACATTTTTTATATGCGATATAAACTAATTAAGATCAGTCACAATTCATTAAAGTTGAGGTAGTATTATGTCATCATTTTAGTGCATGTAGAACAAAGTCATTTCAATTAGGACATCAGAGAAAATATTACTTTCGTCATACAACATTCTCGTATGACTTTTGATAAGACATCAACAAGCAATGTATTGATATTTTCCTATATCATTTTTTTCGGCCAAAGGCCTTTGAAAATCAGGTTGAGTTCTTGTAAAACTTCCTAGGAAAAAATGAATAATTGAATGTTATTAAAGTGTGATCCCTCTGAAGTATTAATCACAACAAAGTTACACGAAAATTGCAGACTCGGTTTGATTGAGTCTGTATATGTGGGATAAGGAAAAGCGCAACATCCCTCACGCCCGCTAGCACCGGCTTGAGCTGTACTCAATTTTTAACAATTTAACGTGTTGGAATCAAGAAAGAATTAGACTTTTCCATGATCTTATAAAACTACAAACTACAATCTTGGAATTTCATTGGACATTCTAAAATAAGTAAATTAATATAAACATATTTCTGAAAAGGATTTTACACGTCTAGTTTTCTTATTTACGGAAACGAACTTTCTTCTTAAGTGTCATAGACTTTTATTTCTTTCAGTTTATTGTTAAGTTCCTTAGATATTTGAGTACGGTTCAACCATGTTTCTTCCTACAAACAATTATGCCCCCCTTCGCTTCAATGCATCTTGTTTTGCTAATGTCGGTCTGGCGGTCTGTCCGTCGGTAGATAATGTGATTTCCGCTGATTATCTTGAAAACTATTTATCACAAAGTCTTCATATTTCCCAGAGTGATCGGTCATAACTAGTAGATGACCCCTATTGTTTTCAGGGTTACTAGGTAAAAGGTCACAGGGACCCTAAATGTCAAAATGGTTTCTGTAGATTATCTTGAAAAGTATTCATCACTAGAAGATGATCGCTCTTGATTTCGGGGTCACAGGGGCCTTAAATGTCAGAATGGTTTACACTGATTATCTTGAAAAATATTCATTACAAAGTCTTCATATTTCACATAATAATTGGTCATAACTAGCAGATGACCTCTTTTGATTTTTGGATCACTAAATCAAAGTTCAAGGTCACAGGGGCCTTAAATGTCATAATGGTTTCCGCTGATTATCTTTAAAAGTATTCATCACAAAGTTTTCATATTTATCAAATTGATTGGTAATTACTAGTTGAGAATCCTATTGATTTTGGGGTCATTAAGTCAAAGGTCAAGGTCAAAGGGGCCTCAAATGTCAGAATGGGTTCCGCTCATTTTCTTGCTTACAATTAATTGCAAAATCTTATATTTGACATATTGATTGGTCATAACTAGTAGATGACTCCTATTGATTTTGGGGTCACTAAATCAAAGGTCAAGGTCACAGGGTCTCTGAATAGTAGAGGATTTCAGCTCATTATCTTGAATGATAATTATCACAAAGTCTTCATATTTCACATAGTGATTGGTCATAACCATTAGATGATTCGTATTGCTTTTTGGGTCACTAGATCACAGGGGCCTTAAATGTCAGAATAGTTTCAGCTTATTAATCACCTTCCGCATAGCGGAAAGGAGATTATAGGAATTGCCTCCGTCAGTCAGTCTGTCCGTATAAACCCAGAGGTACTTGTGTGACTTTGAGAACAATTGGAAATTCTCGTTGATCCTATTCATTCCATTTTTAAATGTGTCTTTTTTAAGCCTTATGTGACTAGAAATGGCTAAAAAGATCAAAGGAAAAGTCACATAGTACCATTTCGTAAGTACGTCCGTCTGTCTGTCCGTCCGTAACACTTTCGTGTCCGCTCCCTAACTTATAAACCACTGAGATTTTTTTTTAAAACTTGGCACAAGTGATCATAATAATGAGACGATGTGCAGAGCGCAAAAATAGGGGTTGCTTCCCCCAAGGTCAAAGTCACACTTTAAGGTCAAAATTTTTAATGTTAAAAGTCTTCATTTCATAATAAAAAGTCTACATTTTGTGTCCGCTCCATAACTTATAAACCACTGAGATTTTTCTTAAAATAATTTGGCACAAGTGATCACCATTGTAAGAACATGAGTGCAAAAATGTGGTTGCTACTTTAAAGGTCATGGTCACACTTAAAGGTCAAATGTTTAAAAGTCTATATTTTGTGTCCCATCCGTAACTTTTAAACCTTTGGTTTTTTTAAATAGCTTAAAACAAGTGATCGCCATTATGAGACAATGTTCAGAACTTCAGCGCCCAATAATTGGGTTGCTAGCCCTCAGGTCAAGGTCACACTTACAGGTCAAATATTATAAAGTCTTCATTTCTTGTCTATCCATAACATTTAAATCGCTGCAATGTTTTTACGATAACTCGGCAAAGAATGATCACCATTATGGCACCATTGGCAGAGCTCAATAATTAAGTCACAACCCTGAAGGTCAGGGTCACACTCAAATGTCCAATTTAAAAACATCTATTTTCATGTCTGCTATATAGCTTAATGACAATTCAAAGGTTTTAAAATACTTGGCACAAATGATATAACCATGACACAATCTGTAGAGCTCAACATCCAGGTTGCTACCCCCAAGATCAAGGTTATATGTTCTCCATAACTTTTTAACTAACTTGGCAAAAATAATCACCATCGTGAGACTATGTGCTTATGATAATTGCATGGCACAACATCAAGGTCATGGTTTGCAAAAGGTCAAGAAGTACACCTTCATGTTCACTGCAGAAGGGGATTTCTCAGCTGTCCTTCAGACTGCCTTGTTATTTTAAAAACTATTCATCACAAAGTCTTCATATTTCTTATATTGATTGGTCATAACTAGTTTGTGACCCCTATTGATTTTGTGGTCACTAGGTTAAAGGTCAAGGTCACATGTGCCTTAAATGACTCATTATCTTGAAAACTATTTATCGCTAAGTCTTCATTATTTTTCTTTTTTCCATAATTGAATACTTCAATGTACCCATTTATGGCAAGTTTCTCTAACAAAATACCAATAATGTGAGTCAAGGGCTAGACAGGGGGGGGGGCATATGTGTTGTTCGACATTTCTTTTATTGTTTTGCATTATTATAAAATCTCATTATTGAAATATAAATTTGTCCAAAATAATGAGACCTCCAATAACGATGACGATCCGGTAAACTAATGCGCATAAAAATATCGAAAAACACGCACAAAAGCGAATTTATCTTATTAATTTACACACTCAGTTGTTTCTTTCAAATGAGTGTTTGATGTTTTCAGTCGATGTAAAGTTTATAATTTTCAAATATTTTGCATATTAATGAAATATATATATATATCCACCAACGATTCAATAGTTTGTCAATTGTAACTCTTTAAAGTTTTAATAACTTAGTGTTACTTTAGGGTTTGTTTTCGGATAATCAGTGTTTAACGGTGTTTCCATGCATAAAATAGCACAATACACAAACTCGTAATACAGTTTGTTCAGGGTCTTGCACAGCTGTTCAGAACCACAACTTTGCGTTTGTACTGTCATTATTAAACTCATAAAATAGGTGCTGCGTACATGAATACAAACATCTGAAATGATTTTTGCAAGAAAAAGCAGATTAACTTCGGCCAAGTATGCTTTTACGTTAGGGACATTATATTTCCGATCCTTAAAAATCGTTCAGCTCGACATTTTTGTTGTGCTTGTACAATTTTAGTTATTTCTATTCGGCTTTTTTCTAGTTGAGTGGTTTCAGTATGTCCTACTTGAATACAAGAAGGACATACTGAAACCGTTCAACTAAAAAAAGCCGAATTTATACTGTTTAATCACCCCATGATATGTCTTTTGACGTCTTATCTCTTATACGCAGGCTTATATCCTATGATCCCCTTTCAAAATTCCATTTTGTTAAGTTTCGCCCATTGTTTTCTCGTTTAATGCACAAGCATTATTTTAATTGGGAACATACGCCGCTTTTCATGGAATGTCATTAAAGGTTCTATAAAAACCGCCGTATGAACTCATTTCCGGATGTTTCAAAATTCCAAATTTTACCATTTCATATTAAATGTTGAATGCTGCTTAAGCCGGTGCAAAGGGACGTGGACGGTAACTTACACTTTCCAGTACCGTTCATGAACAGGCTCAATCAAACTGAGCCTGCAACATTTTCAAACTCGTCGTTTTGTGTGTACTTTTGGGATTCTTTATTACTCTTTTTTAAAAATACTTCTTGTTTCTTTTCCCCATCTCACATATTAACGCGACAGGTAGTTTTACATATCAATGCTTCCGATGGATCACACTTTCTCCAGATTTTTAGTTGATACAGTTTATTGTCGCGCCCGCTTGAGGTGAGCTCGACTTAGCCCAAGGGGTCAAATGTCAAATAACAAAATGAAACATTCATTTGCGAGTATAATTTCTATATGCTTTGATGGATTTTATATATAGCTTAGCACAAGTGTTCTCTATGTTGAGTTGAGTTGACCCGCGCAAAACGCAGGTCAACTTCACAAGAGGTCAAAGAAAAAATATTAAAATTTGTTTGTTGGCTTTGTAACTTGCTTATGCTTTTAAGTATTATGCTTATTGGCCAGACGATTTTTAAATTGTTGAGCCCGCTTGTGATGAGGTTGACCTAGCAGCCACTTATCACTTTTAGCGATTTGGTATATGTGCGTCGTTTGTCTGTGCGTCCGTGTAGATTTTTGCTCATTCTTTGAACGATTACAAAATAGTTTGATACAAATGTTCACCATGGGGTGGTTTTTTACACGCAAAACCCAGATCTGCCGCCATGAGGTCAAGGTCACCCTTGGGGGGTCTGCGCAAAACCCGTGCCCAATCTAAACTTTAATGCCTTCTGCATGAAGGATTACGTAAAATGTGGTAGATATGTTCAGCATGATGAGGTGGTGTGTCGCATGCATTGGGGTTTTAATACATTTTTAAACAAATATTCTCCAGAGTGAGGCGTAGTGTTGCGCGAAAATTTTTGTCTGTGGTAAAGGTCAATGTCTTATTTTAGGGTCAAAGGTCAAATAACAAATTAAAACATTCATTTGTGAGTATAACTTCTATATAGATGGATTTAAATAACACTTAGAACAGATGTTGAGTTGTCTTGCGCAAAATTAAGATCAAGGTCACAAGAGGTCAAAAGTAAAAATAAATTGTTTGTCCGCACTATATCTTGCTTATGCTTTGAAGTATTATACTTAGTGGTCAGGGTATTTTGGTTGAGCCCGATTGCGCTGAGCTCGTCATTGTTGTCAAAATTGATGTGCAGTGTTTGTGTGTGCGTGCGTCCAAAATGGTCCATGTCATAACTTCTTCGAGCATTGAGGAATTTTCAAATAACATGAATTTAGTTTTTAGGCACAATCATTAGACTTCGTATCATGCACATGAATTAGGTCACAGGGTCAAGGTCACCTAAGATGATGCTATGTCAAGATTTTGCCTTGGGTATAAAGAGGATTTGTTGCGCACATTTCACCTATGTAAAAATCATTCTCCTTGATTAGAAAACAAAATCAATTTCGTAAGCAGCGTAATGACGTTATTCTCAGTATACTCAAAACTCAAAAGGCGCCAGAATTACGTCCTTTTAAATTGATATTGGTGGATTTTGAAAATTGATTTTTCCCAATATAAACACAATGCTATTAAGTTTGAGGCATAAACCTAAATTGAATATAGCTTAATGAAATAATTCTTGAAAAAAATAAGATATCAACGATACTTAAAGTCTAACATTTTATACTTATTTTTCTTTTGCTTAACACCGTTACGACAGTTGGGCACGGAGTAGAACAGCCAAATATGAAAATCGGCAGCGGAAACTATTTCCGCTAAAAGTAGCATTAGCATGTATTCCCTTAATTGGACTTATAAGAATCGAAATTGTATCGCTCTGGGCAGAGTTTATTGTCTTTTAACACAATTTTTGTTTGATATAAAAAACTAGGTAGGCCTATGGTTTTCGTAGAATCGGTGTGAAATAGCCGATTAACACAGCTGAGGTTTTTTTTATTTATCAAATGAAAAAACATGTGAAATATCAAAATATTAGCAGTTGCCTTAATTTGATTACTTTTAAGTAACATTTTTGCACGTACAACATAGGTGTACCACGTGTTTTGATCTTGACAAAAGCTGACGAACTTTGCTATACGGTTAGGGATGACAATACCAACATGTTCCGAAGCGTTAAGGTTAAAGAAGCTGTTAAAACGGCAAGCGAAGTATTTAGAATTCCCGAAGCCTCCATTCATCCAGTTACGAATTATGAAGATGCAGATGCTATTGAAATCAGTTGGAAAAGGAACATACCACTTCTCATTGCATTGAGGCAAATAACACAGTATACAAATGACAGGATTGAAGCTCTCAACGATAGTGACTAAACAGAAGTCGTGACAGGAGTAACTTGTAAATCTGTTTGAAACTCTCCATTTTTAAACTTCATATTGTAGTGGATTACTTTACAGATTTATTTTTTACTATGATACTTAATTAAATGTTGAAAATAATACATAGTCATTTTTACTATCAATGGTCGTTTAATAAGTGTTCTACCTTATTTTGTTTGGGTCAACTACATTGTTTACAAAGTAAATCATGCAGTCTTGCTTTAACTCAGTATCTATTTTTTGTAATTCCACTCAATGTCTGTTTATTTTATGCATAAAATTGTCATGCATTTTGGTATGAAAAAGGTATAAAGGGTGTAAATTGAACGAAAATCCTAATTTGAGTCTCTGATTCACAGACACTTGAAAAAGTTTTAGTTTTTTTTAAACTTTCCCCAGTTTTTAAGAAAAATTTTCAAACAACTTGAATTTTTGCGGGGTTTTTTTTTAAAAAAAATTTCTCTTTACTTCTTGAAATTTTCTTCAATTAGGTTGAATAATTATTTTTTTTGTTTTTCCGGGGGGGGATTACAAATTAACTATTTTTAAAAAAACAAAACAAATTTTGGGACCTTTTATTTGTCCAAAGGGGAAAATTTGGGAATTTTTTGGCCCTTTCCTGTTGTAGGGATTCTGAAAAACGGGGTTAAAAGAATCTTTTTTTTAAAGGCCCATAGATATTATCTAAAATTAACTTTTTACCCAAAATCTCGCTGGTCAACAAAGGTCAAAGTATGGGGGACAACATTGCTAGACGTACAATTCAAATTTAAATACATATAGTATAAACAAAAAAGAAGCAAACTGTCAGCTCTTGATCACTTTTTATTTGTAAATACAATCATTTCTATGTAACTTTCCAGTACCTTGAGAATAAAAATTTTTAAAAAGTGACAAAAACGGGTCTGACAACAGATTTTAAAAGGGTGTAAAAAAAGCTTGCTAAATCAGGGGTTTTTTCACCCCACAAGTTGAAAAAGAAACATTGGGTGTTATGAAAAATTTTAGTGGGAAAGGGAATCTATATATTTTTTAAAGGTTAAATAAAATTTTTATTAAATTTAAAGTTAACTTTTTTGAATATTTTGTAACAGACCTTTCGTTGAAATCGAAATTAAGGCTGAACGTATCTATGTTATTTGTTATGCAATCAGCACAGTATTTCATTATTTTGAAATTAACATTGTAGAGTTTCTTATAAGGTTTAGCAAATGTTATGCTCAAAAATGTATGACGTTTTCTGATGCTACCAGTATGATTTAAAGCACATTTCTGCTACAGAGTTGTAAAGGCAACTACTAATTAGAAAGCATTTAGGCTTAAGGAAGTTGTAAAAGTTTCGATAAGAATTTAGTAAATATTTATGATGTCTGAATGATACTGTGTTTTATATGAGTGTGTGATATTTCAAATATACATGTATTTGTATATATATATTACTGATGACTAATCTGATTACAAATGACTTTTTGAAGAAGTATCTTACATTTAAATGTTAAATGCATACATTGAAATTATTGATGTTCATAGACATTTTTGTCAAGGAAATTATTATTTAATATTTTATCCTAACTGATGTATTCAGACATTTCTTAACTGTCTTGAACTTCTTTCACAAAAATCTAACCTGATATTTTTCACTTATATTGATTCTATGTTTTGTATGCATATTATGTAGTCAGCTAATAAACTCACAGATTTAGAAAAAACATTGCTGTTATGATATTTTAGTGAGGAGGAAACCTATATATTTCAGAACCCCGTGAGTCATTATTTAGACCCCAAAATCCTACACAGATCACACTAAACCCTTCCTCTTTGTGCTTCCTGTTGGTAAATAATTTGTCTTAAGAATCTGGGTACAAACGCAAGGTAAACTTGACAAATAGTTAACTAATAAAATCTGATCTATAAATAATTTATTTTATTTTTTTTCGTTGTGTGCGTGTGTGTGCAATCACGATTTTAAACAGACAATGAATTTGTTAATAATGAAAGGTCCGTAATACAAGTTGTAATTTCGTTGACATTCTTTAGTATAAGACATAACACCAAACCAAGAAAAATATACATAAAAGTTGTTGGTGAGTGTGAGATACATGATCCGATATTACATATAGCAGATAATAAAAAAGTTCTTGAATTAGAATAGCATTTTTCATCATACAAATGTTAAAATTCTAAAGCACTTTAAAACTTGATGCATTTTTTTTTCTTTTCAAGCGATATTTTTACGTAAGTAATACTCAAAATAACGAATTTCTATTGTTTTTATCAATAATTTGAAATAATGATGAGTAAATGGAGTTCACTGTAGACATACTCATTTTAAAATTAAACTTTTCCCGTAGGCAAGACAGATGACTGAAAGTTTTTTTTAATATGTATTATTGTTTTAATTTGTGAATTTTACATCATCACACCTTGATAACTAAGCCTTTTAACTATTTTAAGTATACAGACAGATTTTCCAAAAAATAAAAAAATCCCTTTTTTGTCTGCTTTTTTAATTTTAAATTTTTGGAAAATACGGTAAAAATTTGCGTTTTTTCAGTTTTTTTTTTTTTAGAAAAATGATAACCACAAAATCTTCCCAAAACTCGTAGTGTGTTCATAATGTAAAAAATTATTAAAAAAAAAATTAAAAATTTTAAATTTTGTATGTTTTTAATGAATAATTATTGTTTTCAGATTTCGTTACAATTTATTTTTTGCTACAAGTTACTACTAAAATTAAAAAAATGGATTGAAGTGTAGATCAATGATAATCAAAAGTTTTAAAAATAACCGACATTGGGCATTTAAGCTATTAAAAACTGCTTTTGATGAAAAATTTTATTTAATTTCTGAAACGAAAACAAGTGTTTTGGGGGCTTATAGGTTTTTTCACTTTTGAGTCTCAAAAAAGGGGGGGTGATAAGCCTTTAAAACACGTCTAAATGAGTAAAGGTCAACAGAAAAAAATGAAACATCTTTTTAATTGCCCCAAAAAAAGTTTTTTTTTGTTTTAAAAAATACCCTACATAAGAAAAAAAGTTTTTTTGTTTTAACAAAAACAAAAAAAAAATCAGGAACAAAATATTAACTAAGAAAAAAGCTTTGAAAACTATCATGGTTATTTGTTGTTTTTTTTCTTTCTTCTTATTTTTTTTTCCCTTTTTTTTTTTAATATCCCTTCCGCAAAGTCCCTGTACTTTGAAGTTTAAATATTTTACAGTATTGTCACCGTTCAAAA